AGTTTCTATTGAAATCTGCAAAATTAAAAAAGAGGTCTGTAGTGTCCCTTTAAGCTAAAGTTGTTTTGGTGCATCTAGTGTCAACCTTATAAGAAGGATGAGATAAGGGAGGTGGGATTCGTTATTGTATAAAATACAGGATTCACAAACTCAGACACATGGTGGATACCTGCAGTAGCAAAATAGCCATAAAACTACTGCAAGGCTAACAAATATAAAATATAGGTTGTTTCTGGTGGTAAAAGTGATGAGATAAAATTATAAAAGTAACAAACATAATGCTATTTAAATTATTGTGAGAAGAGCATTCATTGTTAAGAAGCACTCATGCAGGAGTTTATTCACTAAACTTGTAAGGGAATTTAGATTTTAAGATAAAGTTGAAAAGTTTTCCAGTTGGGCTATTTTTTACAACATTTTACACTTTCCATATCTGAAGACGGACTAAGTTACTAATAACATTTTAGTTTATCATTATTTACATTACTATCACTAATACATTTAGGATCACGTCAAAATAAAATTCCAAATTCTAGCTGCACTTATATAATGGCCAACACGTCTAAAGCTGTTGGTTAGTGGTGTCACCCAGGGCTGCCATCAGAAATTTTGGGGCCCCTGACACAGCTCAAGATCTGGGCCCCCGGGACCCACCCACAGGGCCACCCCGAGTCCACCCACAGAGCCCATCCTGAGTCCGCCCACAAAGATGAAGTTTGTGTACTGAATGGGGTGTGTGTACAGTGGATGTAGAATGTGTGTAGTGGGTGCAGTGTATGTGTCATTGATTCAGTGTGTATAGTGGATGCAGAGTGTACATTTTGTGTAATGTATGTAATGTTTGTTTGTATTAGATGAAGAGTGTGTTTGTGTAGTGAATACAGAGTTTGTTTGTGTAGTAGATGTAGTGTGTCTATAGTGAATGCAGAGTGCACGTTTGTGTAGTGGATGTAGTGTGTGCGTAGTGACTGAAGAGTGTCTATAGTGAATGCAGAGTGTGTATAGTGAATGTAGCGAGTGTATAGTGACTGCAGAATGGGTACAGAGAATGTAGTGTGTGTGTAGTGCAGAGTGTGTATCGTGAATGTATTGTGTGTGTATAGTGAATGTAGCGAGTGTATAGTGACTGCAAAATGGGTATAGTGAATGTAGTGTGTGTGTAGTGAGTGCAGAGTGTGTATAGTGAATGTAGTGAGTGCATAGTGAATGCAAAGTGTGTGTAGTCAATGTAGTGTATGTGTAGTGAGTGCAGAGTGAATGTAGTGTGCTTGTAGTGAGTGCAGAGTGTGTATAGTGAATGTAGTGAGTGTATAGTGAATGTAGTGTGTGTAGCGAGTGCATTGTGTGTATAATGAATGTAGTGTGTTTGTAGTGAGTGCAGAGTGTGTATAGTGAATGTAGTGAGTGTATAGTGAATGTAGTGTGTGTAGCGAGTGCATTGTGTGTATAGTGAATGTAGTGTGTTTGTAGTGAGTGCATTGTGTGTATAGTGAATGTAGTGTGTTTGTAGTGAGTGCATTGTGTGTATAGTGAATGTAGTGTGTTTGTAGTGAATTCCGAGTGTGTATAGTGAATGTAGATTGTGTGTAGTGAATTCTGAGTGTGTATAGTGAATGTAGATTGTGTGTAGTGAATGCAGTGCGTGTGTGTGTAGTGAATTGGAAATTCACTTTGAATTCACATTTAGTGAATAACCTGATATTTGCCTAATATACATTATGGAAAGAATACCCACCAAGCGATTCTAAAGATGAAGTTCTAGAACTGGAGCAGTCACTATGGAAACCAGTGGAATATTACTAATAATTGCTCTACTGTTAGAACATTTTCTGGAATTGGTCTCTATATACAAAACCCATGTATTTATGTGATGACCTCACCTACCATATACCTTCTCTCACCTATTGCTTTTAGTTGTTTTATCTTCTACTGTTTGTATATTACCTCTGTATCAGTGAGCAAATCTGGCTGTGCCCTCAGCTCTTTTGAACTTTTAACAAGTTGGTTATCAGATACTATTGTCCCTTCAGCAGTTTATCCACACTTGCACACAGCTAAACCAATTACTAACATCTTCAAAGACTTGCAACATATGCAACCACAGCACAAATGAATTGTGAATTGAACTTACAGTCTCTAAGCAAACACGTGAGGGCATCCATGCTCTTTATACTAAGGGGACACTCCATGCACCAAAACAACTTTATCTAAGTTGTTAAGATGTAGGAGCCTCCAGGCACCATAACAACTAAATTTAGATGAAGTTATTTTGGTGCCTGGAGTGTCCCTTTAAGTAACATAATATTACTGCTAATCAATAAATCTCATTTCAATTAATTGAACTCAGAACGTTGAGTCTCAGTAACTCAATGGTCCATGTGGAAGACACACTACTGACCCTCATTTTGCCCCATTTGTTTCCAAAGGCAGCTTCCTATACATACAAACTGGAGGTGGAAGGGGTTATTTAACTTTTGCTGTTGAGAAATATGCTATGAATAATTATATATTTCTAATTTTATCAAGGCTTTTAACATCCACTCTTACTACAACTGATTATGGACCTACCATAGCACTCTGAAGAACCCACATCTAAGGAACCGCTGTTACAATCTATTTATAAAATTTACTGTTCCACTCAGCCTATTACTGTCATTGAAAAAGTAAAATAAAAATGGACAGAGGTGCAAGTGGTTAATGCTTAGGGTGATACAGTGTTGAAGCCATCTAATATCAATGCATACAGCTTATACACAACAGACGTTGCAACACAGAGTAAAAATGTGCATTGAGAAAGTGCTCTGTGAAGGAGACGCCTGTTGTGTTTATACTGTACATATTGATATTAAATGGTTCAGTCACTGTTTTACCTAGCCAGTGCTGTCATCAGAATCTTTGAAAGCCCTTGCATTCGTACTCGCTGGGACCCTTAACACACTCCCAGGATACACTCTCACAGAAATACCTCAACAAACATTCACAGAGAAACCTACTCACACACAAACACACACTCTGCTGAATACATAAATACATACATATAAAATGCTACACACACACACTCTTTAGCCTCTGCTACACACAAATACAAAGTTACACACACACATTCACTAGTACACACACATAAAGTAATACACAGAAATGTATTTATAAAAAAACACAAATCCAATGGAACACACATGTAGCTCCCTCACAAAGCTTGCTGTTTGCTAGCGATGAACTGTATAAGCCGTATACATATATATGTACACAATCAGATATATTTGCAATCTATTCGGCTTATTGGATGAGCCTCACAGTGACTGACATGAGTATTTTATCCTTCAAATCTCAACAGTGTTTACCAATATGGAATGCTTACCGATGTGTTTCAGTGTAGCCAATTCTCATAGTTCAAAACAGAGTACCTATAGAAGAATCTGGAGGTACAACATTTATCTTATTCTTCTCCAGTTATTAACTAACCCTCATTGAGAAACCTTATTTGTTTTTGTGCTACTGTTTACTAGGTAATAGATTCCTTTGTTTAAACTCAAAATTAAAATTCACTCATTTTTTTCCATTAGGATACCTCAGATCAAATAAAAATAAAATTACAAGACAAAGAATACCGACACCTAGCTGTAGTTGTTATGATGTTTAGACTGTCCATGTATACAATGAACTTTCATGAACTGAAAACTTAATTGAAAAATATAGGCACAAATAGTGAGATTGGAAAAATATCTAAAATTTACCATTTTTTTTCAGCGTAAATATTTTCTCTTAAATGAAGCGTTTCCTTTTTTTTAATCCCTCAAAATTAACAATTTAGTAAATAAAATTAAATGAGCGAAGGGACGAGCTTTTAAGCCCTGGCAGCTCAAAACAAAGAAATGTCTTAACAAGTCTTCATGATGACGAGTTGGCGTAACATAGTCAATGGATTTTAGCTCAGATAAAAGATAGTTTTGAGTTAATTTGGCCTTTGTTTGAATAAGCTTTAATTCAATTACTGTTTTGATTCAATATCTGGATTTTGATAGACAGAATAGTGACTTAAGGCAGAGAGATGCATATCTTTCCAATCTGAACAAGACATATCCAATTAAATGCACGATTCCAGATATCTTTGACCATTCCCACCAACCACTAGCTGGTCAACGACAAGACTTTGGTAGCAGCTGAAATACCAAAGGTTTTCTGTCACCTTGGCTTGAAACCAAGCATTCGTTTCTTTTCCATTACCCTTCTTAGTCTGTAATTGAAAAGGTATATGTCTAGCACAGTCATGAGAATACATGTAAAATAACCGTTCTAACGTAGTTGGTGGTCCTCATACATATTCTCCAAATATCAGTCTGGTACAGTTTAAATGTATGTATACGAAATGGCAAACACCTGTAGTTTTCGTAATGACATTTCACTGTCCAAGCATGCTTGAAAATATATCCTTGTAATGGAAATTATTAAGATCTATTCTTAATAGAGACAGTTCATAGTGGAAAGCACATCAAGTGTACAATGAGTATCCTGACTAGATTCTAATACCAAACACATGGAGCAGGGAAAGATCAAGCATGTCTCAACACAACTGCTCTAGGTTAATGTGTATCGTCTGTCACATAATAGATTTTTTTTACAACCTCTACCTACAATAGTATAAGACTGGAGACTATACATTTATATAATGGTAACAATAGGTGCTTCTAATTACTGTTTCATTCAAATGGAAGATGTAAAAAAAATCTTTCACAAATCTGGCTTAGTTCGGAAACCTGCATATGAAGGTTATTATGGTTTTTTGTAGGTAACTATGTGAAATTGTTCTTTGAGTACAATAATATGAGCAGAATTGCTTTATGTGGAACTCGAGGGGCCCATGTGTTGGAAAAGAAAGGGATCATCAAAATAAAGAACAATGTCCATGGTTTATCTTTGGTGGGGGTTTTTTTCAGAAATGTTACATATTGTTAATAATGCAGCGTTTTTACCCATCATAGACCTACCCACATGCTTGTTTGTCATCCCTGTTATCCAGTGGTGTATTTTGGATTTGTGCTGCCCTAGGCACAACTAAATTAGGGCACCCCCAAATTCCTGTCAAGGCCACTTTTTTGACAGACAGACACAGGCCCTCACATACACTCAATTGCAGATACACAGTCATTGGCATACACATACAGTCATTGGTACACACACTGTTTAATCAACACACACTTTCACTGACAAACACACTGACACACCCACTCACTGACAGACACACACTCTTAGATACACATAAAATGCCAGACACACACTGACACACACTCACAGACATATCCATCCTCACTGATTTGACTCACTCTGACAGACACACACTTTAACTCACTCACAGACACACACTGACAGCTACACTCACTCGCAGACTCACAGAGCGCGAGAGAGCAAGAAGAGTGGAGGACAGCGCTTTCTTGCCATCTGGAATATTAGTAATTTAACACCTCTGGGGGGCTCTAAGAAGGACAGCCCCAGGACATGAGGCAAATAAGGCATTTGTTTGGGAGCTTGGGGTGGCATTTTCTTGCGGCTCCCTTAAAGTGCCGTCCTAGTCAAATGCCTTGTTTGCCTTGTGGTAAATACAGCCCTGCTGTTATCACTGAAGTCTGTGGGTTTCCTGAACTTTCCCGCTGAGTCCCTTATTGTGTATATGCAATGTTAATGTTTTTGGAGATAAATGTTACACTTCACTAAATGTAGTGTTATCCTCTCCCTGTGCAAATCTCTGCTCTTCTCATATTGTACGGTAAAATGCAGGTTGAATAATTTTTCCATTCTTGCCTGTATATTAGCTAACTCCCGAAATTGGCAACCAAGAACCCACGTACCTATCCTTGCTTCAGCTTACTTTATTACATCATCTCAATAACTATCTCTTTAACAATATATGCATGCTCTATGAATCCCTCTGTCCATCAACATCAAATTCTATCTCAACCTCTTGTTTCAGCTCTTCATAACCAATACAGTGTAAACTCTTCTTGCTGAGCACTTTGTACAAAAGTTATGCAAACACAAGATGTTGACCTCATGGAAAGGGTCCTCCGTTCCTTTTGTACAGTTACCTGTATATTGATTTGTCTGCAGTCAGCTGGACAGTGCCGCAATTCAACAATAAATAAGATTTTACCTTTCTCTCTACAGAAAAAATGGAAGCAAAGATTTTGGGATACACAAAAGTATTCACATGAACTGAACCCTTAAAATGTGTGTTGTTTGTCACTGAAGGCTCTCTTGAAATGATAGTGAAGAATATCTAATAGAGTGACTGGTACAGATATTCTGCTTATCGGAATAATTATTCTTGCTTATACTTAGTAATGCAGTGAAATATTTGCACGAGACTCTTGTTAATGTAGGAAAAATTGTATGAAACAGAATCAATGCAAAAGTCACTGATAATGGCAAGCCACTGGACAGTTTGGCCTGTGGCTAGTTCCACATTAAAATGTGAATTTGCACACTTGTGCCATGTGCAGAAGTTACCTAAAACATTTATGTATCAGACTGGGTAGCCTTGAAATGTAACCCTAGGCATGTCCCTAGTGTACATTCACATTATATGAAGTGATCATTTTAACTTATCATTTACCTTATCGGTGAAGTACAGCGAACACCTCTTTAGGCACATTGTCATGTGTTAGGGAGTCCACCAGACTCTGCATTTGAATGAATAAAAGAACACAGAGATTGGACAAATGCTTGAAAGCTTGTTCTGTGGGTAGTTCCTACTGAGGTGAAAATACATTTTAGCTGGTCTGTGCCATTGCTGAGAAAACATAGGCCTCTAATCTCTGTATTAAGAACAATTTTGGGGCCTTCTCTCAGGGAACAAGAGCCACTGATTAAAAAATGATCACATATTGCATCATATCATAAACGCACTGATCCCAACAATCATCTTGAGATGGATTATATTTTTCACTGACTTGCTGTTTTATTTCTTTATGAAATATAGGTCTAATCTATTTTTGTTATCACAAGTTGAAATTAAAGGTCATTTTTTTTATTGCCACAAAAAGTAATTTATCACATTTTCTTTTTTTTCCTCATATATGTAAACATTTGGCGACATATTTGTGTATTTTTTGTTTATTTATTTGCAAAATGTCCGCCATTGCAGGTATAACTGTGAGAAATCTATTGTATGAATCCTGGAGTGCCTGGGACATTCTCCCACCATCCTAAGAGAGGCATGCCACAATGCCCATCATTTAGCCATATGCCAGACTTACTGGGATGGCACAAATAACATTTAAAAACACTGATGTTTATACATTCCCTATATAAGCCAAATGAATGTGACCAAAACTCTTTCTTTCCATCTTACAAAGCATTAATGGAAAATTCTCGGCACCATGACCTGTTCATCTCTATTGGCTATGGTGCCTTCAGTATTCTGGCACCGTTTTACTGTTTAATGTCAAACTATTTTCAAATGGTTTAATACTTAAACAAGGGTCCCCCCTTTCTCCAACTGAAAGTACAATTAACGCAGAGTTAGATAGGGTCTGGGTTCCCTCATTCAATGGTAAACCTTTCTTCAAATATTATTACAATACTTGTTCTTATCCAAAATCATTTGTGCTGAGAAAATAGCTACACATCACTTAATCAAAGAAAGTGAAAATGATATTACACAGAGCGATGAGGAGAAAGGGCATGGGTATATTCAATTATAAATCTCCTGGTTTCTCCCAAAGATAATTTTACAAGTATTTACAAATTACAATTGTTTTTTAACCATTTCCTCAAGTATCGACGCTCACTTTGGCTCTAATATCGTCACTAAACATGCCTTTTCCAAAAAGAGAACCTCACTGTGCTATTGAACCTTTTTATCCTTAACATTCCCCGAACCTTGACCTTATAAAGTACGGTGGCCACTGACTTACGTAGGTGGCCACTGACTAACACACTGAATCTCCCATCTTGAATTACTGTATAAGATTGTGATGAGATGGTATATTGTGCCAGCAAGGCTCTGTCACATGTTTGATTTAATTAGAGAGAGGCTATGGCATTAGAGGAGCATACCTTCACGTGTAGTGGAACTGCCCCTTATTAAAGACCCTATGGGAGGGTACCTTCCACCTTGCTTGCAAAACTGGCTGGAGTCTCTATCCTGCCCTTTACCTAATTACAATGCCATCAGCTTTTGCAAAGTCACTAAAACTTCTACTGTATCATTTATATCTAGCAACAACAAAAAAACATAATCCGACAATGGTGTACTGTTTCTGTTCCAATCCTTAGAAATTTTAACAACTTATTAAATTTGGGGGTAAATGTCTCATAGAAAAAAACAGCACAGAACAGAATTTCCATAAAGTTTAGGACCACTGGGATACCTTATCTATAGCTTCTGATTGATTGATACGATCCACAAATCTGTTGCTTTGGACCTCCACCTCTTGTAGCAGCTTGTAATATGTTATGTCTGTGCATTATGTAATTTGTATTGTGTTGTGTTTTGGCTCATATCTTCCTGCCTTCTTGACCTTCATTGGACTGCTGCTTACTGGCGGTCTTTCGAAACAAACAAACAAAAAAATCAGTGATGTACCCTAACACATAATTTACTTACCATACCCGTGTCCTTGATTACTTTTATTATTTAACCACTGTTCAACTTCAAACACCTTCCTGATGTTATAGCAACATTATTGTGATATCTGTTAATACAAAAATATTTGCTATCCCTGACATATCCAAATTTAACTTAATTGCTAATTGTGTAGAATAATTGGACTAATGTTAAGCATCTGAGACAAGGGTGCTATGCAAAAATATTTTAAAAAAATAAATAAATATTGTATTTCAGTGTGCAATCAGGCACATTATATATGACCTTGGATTTTCCGTTAGAAGAAGTTCGGAAGGTGATTTACATATGTGCTGGAATTATAATGCCTTTTGGCGAGTACACAGACTTTTGATGTATCGGCCATTTTTTAAAACATCAGGATGTTTCTGCAAGATATCTGGAAACGAGGTAACATACAGCTTCCACTGCTGCTTCTGCTGAGAATTTGCTGTCCCCAACGCAGCTGGAAGTAGTTAGAAAATGAACATCTGGCGTGAAGACCACCAAATAAATGATACTCATCCATTAGAAAAAAACAAGAAATGTCCTTGTTATTTTGAAAATAAACTTCACTTGTTTTACATTCTGAGTATGTTTCATTCTGGATGGTTTTTATTTGTATTTTTTTTTTTTTAAAGTTTGTTGGGAGTTAAAAAAAATATTGATCGGACTTTAGTAGAATTGGTCAAAGAAATGTTGGATTATAAGATATCCAAAACCCTTACAGCTGTTTATTTAAATATCATTATAATCCTTTACCAAAAATCGTTTATGATGAGAAAATAGCTGCACACCACTTAATCAAAGTCAGTGAAAATGATATTAAACAGAGCAACAAAGAGGGCAAGGGTAAGTCCAATGATAAATAACAAGTCATTTGATTGGTGAGGTCTTATTATATGCTTTTCTACAGAATATGAAAAGCATGCTATACACTACAATTGTTTCCCATAATAATTGCATACATCGTAACAATATTAAGTTATATAGTGGTGGCCAAAACATGACAAGTAAAATAGATCAGAAAACCTATACCTATCGAGTATTTATGAGCTCTAACTTAGACATGCAAACTGTGGGCTATGAAGAGGATTCCTTAAAATAAATTGCAATTATCTTTCCATTCTGTTCATGTTACGTTCGTGTAGCCCCTGGACCCCTAATACTAGAATAAGCCCCCTTCCTACATCCAGTCGGTCACCTCTCTCATCCTTTCTCAAACTCCTGAGGTAACACTATTCACAAAAACACTCTCTGATACTCCATAACTCATTATTCAGACTGGTCCCTATCAGTCCACCTAATCTGATATTTTCCCAATATCCTCACTCAAGGTCCCACCTGTGCAACCATTAACCTGATCAATACTTCCCTCCAGGTTTAACTCCATCAGTTTTGAAGATGATAATGACATATAATTCTCTCATTCTATGTGACTTTATTGTTCTATAATTTACACTACCCTACTTGCTCTGTTTTTTTAATTACATAAACTTAATCTTCTACAATTTGCTGTATCACAAGATAATTAGCAATTATTATATGATTGTTAATCTATGTAGCTTGTTCTGAATAAGGCACTATATAAGAATGGCTATATAAATTAACAATAGCCTACAAGAAGCAGTATTATGGATGCATGGCAGATAAAGTGTGAAATGTGGCCAAAACTACTATCGGTAAGCAAGAGGGTGATATTTGAGCTTCACCTGGAAAAGGTTCAAACTCAATTATGTATTATTGTAGAAGCAGATGTATGAACTCCCACTACGTTTTAGTCTTCAGGTAAGGATACTATTAATATCCACTGCAACTATTCCAAACCTCATTTTTAATAGATTTCCCTCTTTTTTTCTGTTTAACATTTTTTGTGACCTCCATCTTGTACACATTACAATCATCTATACTGATGATTTTTTCAAAGCAAATATGCCAAGTCTAAGATCCTTCCTTAACGCCAGGGTTAACAAAGATTGCACTAATCACTGT